GACTTCACGTCTTGTGAAGATCTCTAAGCGCTGCGGAGCCTATCGAACCCAGCGCAGGCTATAGGGGTCTGATCAACCTCTGGCCTCTCCCCGTCGCCAAACGATCCCTCGACGAACCCCTTCCCTGCGCGCAAGTTCCACGGAGCCTAGCAAACTTCATGTGAGTGTATCCAGAGCTCTACCCGGGTTCGAGTCCTGCAGGTTTATCTTCCCGTCGCTGAAAACCCATTGCGACATACTCTCATGTTTTGCATCTTTCCGTCGCCGAAACCCCCCTGCGATGAACTCTCGTGCCCTGCAGGTTCGAGTTTTGTTTTGTTTTGTTTTGTTTTGTTTTGTAACTGCAACTCAAGCAAGTTTTCCTGCCTGCACCGCGACCATCTTCGGTGTAAGTAAAATAATCTTTAATCAACTGTTAAGCGTCCGTGCCTAATTCTAGCCCGCCGGCCTGCATTCCCCGACCCGGCGTGTCCGGGCTGCTGGCCACAGCCTGCCGCGCACAGGCCCCCGAGGGCCTCAGACCGCTCCTGGCCCGCACACATGGGAGAAATTGCATAATGGCAGATTTAATTTTTGTTATTAGAATAATTGATATTTAAGGGGTTAAAATATAAAATATATGCCGGTAGGGGTATGTGGGCAGCTGGAAAATCTAGAAGGGGGTACTCAATAAGAAAAAGTTTGAGAGCCTCTGACCTTAGGGAGTTGCAACAGCAAACTGACAGATCAACATGACTGAGTCATGAGCTGCTGTCTTGGCTTTTAGCAGAAAATAGGAAGTTTAGACTATCTTGTGCTCTGAGCCCCCAGTTTGTGCTGAGAAGCTGTGACAAATAAATATGGTCCAGTTGTCTAGTTTGCAAACTGGATATAAAATATGAAAACAAAACTCTTAAGTGAGTGAATACATGCTGAGTAAATAACTGACAGGAAAAGGTTATTGCATTTGGAGTAACAATGGAACAAAATAAATAAGTTTTTCTGTCACATCTGCTCAATAGACACCGTATAGCATTAAATAAAAGGGTCTGCATTTATTGATAAACTTGGGCACTAGCAAGTTACTTCTTGTTGAAATATTAGCAGTTTTGTATCATCTGTTTTTTTTTCCAATTTTGTGAAGGCCCCCAGTTTTGTATTTATGGTCCCCCTAATTTTCCTGAATTCCTTTGTGAAATTGAGTTGAACTAACTTTACTATTAGAAATGTACAGGATATACATGCATAATTAAATGCCTTTGTCAGGTTCAGAATTGGCGGTAATATACAACCAAGTTGACAACTAATTCCAGTATCAGTTTACAAGTCATAACATCTTTCATTCATGGATTCAGCATTTTTCCTTAATGAAACTTCACAATACTACTCTTGTGTGTAGGCTTAACAACATGTACCTATCTAAACAAAGATTCTGAAGAAAGGCATTTAGAGAGACTGATCTTGACCCCAGAACACAGCAGATCTTGTTGCAGACAACTGTTGCAGAACGAAGAAAATGTTTGTAGAAATGCACAATTGTGTATTGTAGAATTACACAAAAATGTGTAATTGCTTATATGTCCTTTTTTGCCAAATAGTTTGAAAATATTTGAAGGGTCATAATGCCACAAATGATAAACATGTTATAACTACTGAGCCCTTGACTTCATTTTATACAGTGCACACAATACATGCAAATCAAAGTTGTCCATTATGGTCAATAGCATCACTTATTTCTGTTCTCAGTCCTTCTTCCTTAACGTTCTTTCCTTGCACTCTTTTTTGCTTCCTTTTACCACATCTCTTCTTGCACTTGGAGATCGCCCTTCCTTCTCTCTGGAATACAAAACTTTGCTGTCCTTCAAATGCCTTTTTAATACCAATTATTCTAATGGTGATTCAGTATCATACTGAACGAGCGTAATCAATCCTACTCTACTGAACATTGTGGCAACATTCCAATTTTACCCAAATTGAGCCTTGAGTCTGGAATTAAAACAGCCACCGTGCTGTGTTTTTATCATGAGAGTCCAATCGTAAAATGACCTCAGGCACATGATGCCTGCATAAAGCCTCACAGGCATCTGCACATATGTGGCCCTACCCACACAGAGCTCCCTGTAAAAAAAAATGTATTATCATAAGGACAGAACTGTTCATGATTTATAATCCAATCCTGAGACACTGAGCTACTGGTGACATCTGTGGGAGTTGGCAACACAGTACCTTACAGGATTGGGTTCTTGTTAAGCTGTTAATGAGAATTTTGTCTTCAACTGTGTTTTGTAAGATATGCATGCTGGCAGTACTTAGGAAAATTATTTCCTCGTGGAAACAAACTTCTTTCAGAGCAAAATATTTTAACAACTATCTTTGCTTCTCAACATAAACACTTCAAAAGTATAATCAGGTGCTAAATAAAGCAGGAAGCAACATGGAAGCAAAACCATTCTCAAACTACTACCAGGACCTGAAGATCACAATGCAAAAGATTTTGCCTGTCTTCAGTAGCATTGGGAGCCCACTGAAACTAGTAACTAACAGTTCATCTAATGTAGGTTTTAACCTGATACCACTTTTTTTTTTAAGTTGTAGCACTATGATGCTAGTAGCTGACAAGAGCTGCTTTGCAGACCCATACCTTTCAAAAATAAAAATAAAAAAAAATCTGTCCTTAAGAATAAAACAAATGGAGCAGCTGATTATCCATTGAGGACAGAAAGGTAGTCTTAAAACATCCATTCACAAACACTGCTTTTTAAGATACTCCTCAGTCCACTACCTCTTTTGCTATTGCCTAAACCTAATACAGAGTAAGTATTTCTGAATTAGAAGGAAAACTCTATGTATGGTTTTTACATTTCAGAAATAACTTGTCTCTAAAATGTTAACAGGATTTATACAAATTATGTAGTTTTTAAGGGGGCAATGGCTATTTTTTGCTATAGGAACCTGATGGCATGTTAAAAAACAAGAATCTTTCAAAAAGGCATTCTTCAACATTCCCCCTGCAAGAGTTAGCAAATAATTAAATAAAAAGGAGTTTGTCCTCTGCAGAATCATTGTGCCAATTTTGAAGAAATTGTTTGTTAAATCTAGCCATTAAAGATCGGAACGGATTTTTAGCTATGTTTGATGCCAACAACACATCCTTGATGTAACAGTTGCCGTCAATGTCATTACAATATTTTACAATACATGCAAGGCATAGTGCATGGAGTAGGTTGCAAGACTGGGAGTCAGCTTTTTAACACCAAGAAAAAAGTTATGCAAAGGACAAGAAACCCTTTTCACAACTGAGAATAACATAACGAGTGTCACCTTTTGATAATCCAGTAGTAGGCTTTTAGCTTTAGAAAGTTTAAGAACTTGCTGTTAAATGTCAACCGTGGCTCACAGCTGCAGACTACTGAAATGATTATAGAAAAAATAACATTAAGGTAGATCAGCATTTTGGGTGAAGACAGAACAAAGGAAATACTGACTGTTACAGTTGTAAAAATCATACCTCAAACTAGGCTGTGTGCCAGTCTTTTTATATTTGTATACAGTAACATTAACTTAACATTTAAAAAAATAACCACAGATGTTGGTGCCTTAACTTCAAGGTCCCCAACTTGATACTTCCTTTGTCTGATTTTCAGAAATGCTAAACACTTCTGACTTTTAGTGAAAACAATGGGAACTGTAGGTTGGGCACATGCAAATTGAAACACCCTATATGAGTCTGTAAATTATTAGAGCCTTAGGTTTTTGCATCTTGTTCCCCTCTCCACCTTATACTGGAAAAACTAGCAATAGGAAAAATGAGCGTATATTGTATATTGTGATGAAGCTAAAAACCAGGTAGTTTTCTTCAAAAAGGGAGGTAGTTTCTAGTACCTGTATGTGTAAAAAAGTAATTTGCCCACATTTTTCTGAGTTATACCATGGCCCCCTCACTAACTTGATTTATTAAATCTTAAGGGCCAAAACATGCAAATGTGTTTATTACTTCATTTTTGGGAGAAATTCCAGGAAAGTCAAGTATTTGCAAAGTCACATCTTTAGGCTGCAACTTCTCCAGGCAAGGACTGTCTATATTTCTGGTACAAAATCGTGCTGATGCTAGGCAAACATATACATTAAAACATGTAGGTTTTAGACAGCTATAGTAGGACAGAATTTGCTCACTGCACCTAACTAGGAAGAGTTGTGGTTTGGACCAGCTGTACTGGAAACTCCAAGTATGTGTTTAAAGTTCAGTGTACTTGTTCCTAAAAAGTCAGGGCACATTTGTAAAATTCCCCTGCACGGTGCATTAATTATACATGTTTGTTTAAAAAGGAGACGGGAAGCAGTACGGGTGAATGCAAGGGTCAGTTTGACCTCTGCGCTAATGTCTGATAATGTAGAAATCTGAGATCCAGGTGGATAATGAATCTGCAGTCAAAATCATAGCTGCCTCTTTTGAGGAGAGTTGACTCTGCTGTTTTGGGAAGGAAAACTTTTCTCTAGTAAATAATACCCATGTAGTTGAAGTTTCCTGTCACTGTCTGGATGAAAACAGGATTCAGAGTTAGCGGCATATTTTTTCCTGTAAAAAATGTAAAAGTCCTCCAAAGAGAAGTGAAACATGAAATCACATGCTTTGTGCTCACTCATCATGAAAAACAGAAACAGGAAATTATCATCACTGGTACTTTATAGATAGATATCTATAAATAAATATATACACACACATTCCATAGCCTTTCAATTTGGGGATAAAATCAAAGGAGAAAACAACGATAAAAGGAAAGAAATACATAATTTGGGCCCTGTGTGGTTATTTAATACTAGACTCCACACACAAAACTCCAGAGCAGCACCTAGGCTCTTGGAAAAGCTATTTCAGTGCGTTTTCAGTGTATTTATCAGTAACTTTCTGTGGGTGTGTCTATGCATGAGCTTTACTAGGCATCACACTAATTTAATACACAGTAAACATCATGGTCTACACATGTACCACCATTAGCATACAGTAGATTAATTTATTCCATTGTATGATAGTCCCATCAGACACATGTACTAGCCTATGCCACAGTACTAGCCTATGCACAGTAAATTACTGTGCTTCAACACGTGTAGATGGTGACATTGGGATTAGTTTACTCAGGTTCAAATTAAGCCAGAGTATATTCAGTCACATTAATTGCACATGTAGACACACCCTGTTAAGGTAACAGGCCCCTGATAACAAGACTAAGTACTCTTTCCATTTGACAGGGAAAAGAGATCGGACACCTTGACACAACATTGAATAATTATAGAGTTTATATCTCTGTATTTGCACTGTATGCCATTTTCTGACATATAACAGCAGCATAGATCTTGCCTGGGCTACTCAAGGGATTAAATACATTTTTCTAAAAGATGGACGTTCTGTTCCTGCCAGGTGTTGACCAAGCTTCTCACAATCTTTTTTATTGCAACATCCAGAATTTGTTTGAAACAAGCACAAAGATGATCCAAGTGCAACAAATACCATAGTGACATTCATTTATTGATTGTGGGGATATCTATGTATTCGATGTATAATAACCCTCCCGATTTAAAGGGATCAGCCTGGCTGACAATAAACAGGTAGACAACCCACAGATCCAATTCTCTAAGCATGACCAGTTCCTCCCCGCCCTCATATTCCCACCTACCTTCCTGAGCCCCTTTGTCTCCATTTCCAGGTGGGTAGGTCTGGCTGGCAGGTAGTCCCAAAGCTCTTCCAATTAATTTATTTCCTCAATAGGGGTGCATACACACTTGCTAACTTTCTGACCATTAAGCTGACTTAACTTTTTAAAATCGACTTAATTGTCTCTACTACATACCCATGCAGAGCAGAGTTGACTTAAATGCTGCACAAGATAATACACCCCCAAGGTGTATTATCTTGAGTTGCATTAGCTAGGCCCCTTTAGGTCACGAGATGGCTGCCACCATGTCAGGGATCTGTACCTGTGTATGGTCCAACATGGCTTCATTCGACTTAGTTAAGTCACTTATGTTAAGTCGGCTGAGCACGTGTGTAGATAGGACTCTAATTGGTGCGGTGGAAAAGCGCAGCAGCCTGTGCAGTAACAGACTGATGTTATCCTGGAGGGGAGCGGAAAAGCAGCGGGCATTTCTGCCGCACGCCGGGCGGGAGCGGGATTTGGGGCCGGCTGGCTTACAGGCGGGCGGACTCGAAGCCCCGGGGCAGCTGCGGCGGGAGCCTCTGCCCTGTCCCGGGAAGCGAAAGGCGGGTCCTGTGCCGCGAGGGGGCGCCGGGGTTTCGGTTTCAGGCGACTACGTGCGGACTCTCAGGTCCGCAATGAACACTGGCGGGCGGGGGCGGGGACCCCGCACGCCCCGGACCTGGTCCCTGAGCCTCCTTCGTCGCTGCCAGGAGCGACACTCGCCGCGGGCCCCTGCAGTGAAGGGCAAGGTACGGGTCGTGCTCCGGGGGTTATTTCAGGCTCCGGCCGCGCCAGCACAGAGCGGCTGAGCTGGACCCGCCCGGGCCGGGTGGGCGGCGGCGACCTTCCCGCAGCCCCCGCGAGGAGCCGAGTCACCGCTG